TTTTGCTCAATTAGATTCCAAATTCCTTCTAAATGATCGTGAACAAGAACAATAAAAGAAGCAAGTTTTGAACCAATGATAATTCTTACTGCTCTTTTCAAAAACCAAACACTACTCCCCCAGATCTTCTACTACCACTGCCTCCCACTCTTAGTAATGTAAGATGCAGAGCTGAATTTTAACATTTATGCAGAGACATTTGCTGCACACTGTCATATTTTAATTGGTAGAGGATTTCATGTTTTTCTTGATAGAGTTTATGTATTGGGTTTTCAAATTGTACTTTAAAACATTTGCACCCCTTGAAACATGGTAGCTAATTGGGTTAACAATTCTCAGTTGTCAAGAGGAGTTTTAGATTGGTCCATTTCTATTCAATTTGGTCCCTTTTCAGTGTGTACTTGTGTCAAGACTGCTTGGAGGGCAGAAGTAGACAGCCCTTCATTGTGTGTACTGTGGGGAAAATCTGATCTTTCAAGAGGTTGGTTAATTGGACACACATGTGATACCCAAGGTGCAATGAAAAGATAAGAGCAGCTAAAGCCTACAAGGTGGATGACGTGTTTTTTTTAGGTTCAATCATGATTATATTTCCTCTGCTTTTGCTGGTGCCTTCATGCATTTTATTGTTTTCCTTTAGCCTCAGTAGGTATTTTTATACATCTCCATGAAGTTTTCTCAGGATATGTTATCTGCTGGTTCTGTGTAAATATAATTGGAATAAAATAAATTCCACAGTGTTATCTGTGAGTAGCTGGTTAATAAAAATCTGTGATAATACTATTAAAATGGGAATTTAAATATATTTATAACATATGCTTTTCTGAGTTATCTAAGCAAACTTTAGCAATTATTATGCCTTATCTATATATAATAGTATTATTGAATTCAATCATTTATTCCTGCTGGCATTGACATTACAAATATAATGCCTTGGATATTAAGATCTGTAAACTAATTTCTCTCCTTTCTGAACAAAATTATTGAGGCAATTTATCCAAAAGGAAGTCATGGAAATTAAGTGACATGTTTAAACTATGGAATGTAACTGGTTATTCCATTAAATTAGCAAAAGTGCAAACCTTTCACAAATATAACTAGCTAATTAAGCATATGTAAAAGATAAATACACACATATGCATGTGATATTCCTGGTATTCAGTAAGGAACATCTAAGTAAGAACTATCTTATGATGAATTCTGAATTTGAATTTGCGATAACACTTGTCAATATTTCTATATATCAAACGGTAATTTTTATATTAATTGATCAAAAAACTATTTTCATTGACTAACCAGCCTCTGCAGTGGAATCAGCACTGTGAAAAATCAATAGAGAACTAAGTGATTAGAAATGTTCTTGGCTGAGAAAATTTAGTTTCTCAAAACAAAAGAATGAAAATATACTCCCTGACCCCTTTAGGGAGTGCATTTTTATTTTTTATAAAGTGGGAAAAGAACATTTGATTAATGATGTTATAAGTAAGATGCCAGTATTATTAAACTTTTATATGAGCTGTTTTATTTCTTAAGGCATTTATACATCTTGAGTAGAAATAAAATACTATATTTTTAGGTGTAGCTGAAAATCATTGCAGAAATATGTGCTTTTAGCTAGCTCTGAAGGCAAGAGAATAGTCTAGTAAGAAATACTGTAGTTGACACCCATGATCATCTGAAATCTGCCTCTAAGACAATGATAATTTCGGAAAAACATTGTGTATATTTAGCTATTACTACAATGGGTAATGGAAAAATTAGAGGTTCTCAAGATTACACTGTGGTTCTGACTGTAATTAAATATAGATCTGTATTTTTAAGTTATGTCACTAGTATCTGCTTGTGTTTTCAATAATTAGATAAAAATCAAAAATCTCTAGATAATAATATATTGGAAAGGCTTAAAGGAAAAGCACATTTTGTCTTTATCCACAATTAATTTTTCAAATGGCATCTGTTGAATCATAAATTAATTGGAATTATTTTCTTGATTTGGTTTCTGATTTTATTCATTCATTCAAAAATATTATTGAACTTGTTCTACGTGTTCTGTCTACATTTGTTGCAGAGGGTAGGCAACGGCCTGTCCTCAAGGGGCCATATATAGAGTCAGTCTAATGCGATAAACAGATATTAAATATTTGATAAACATTACTAATTATACTACCTTAAAGTGTGACTAACATTTAAACATTATGTGAGAAACACACACGGTGCTCTGGAAGTGTGTAAAAAGGGAGCTCTCCATAATTTGATGTAAGTAAACTATGAATCATTTTCAAAGCAACCATCTTCTACTTTTACTTTAGAATGAACTTAGAAGTAAGCCAGATTTTTTTACTAAATTTTGGTTTGTAAAAGTTTAATATCTTCACCAGTCCTTATCTTGTCAAGGGTAATTTTCAGACTTAAGAGTTGACTAGTGTAGCATAGTTCTGTTTCACAGTTGTTTTAGGAAAAAAAGTTATTTTGAGCATGTTTGTTTTTCTTAGCAATTACATACAGACTTGAGGTCAGTTCACATTTTATATACTCAGATTTCTGTAATAAAACATTAATTTACATTAATTTGTAAATCATATCTATTGGTAATAATGAAGCCTTCCCAAAAATGTACAATTATGTTTTTTAAGTGATAACTCATAAGTCCATTATAAAAAATCATTTATTTACACTTTGAAGATAAAAGACTAATTTTTTTCTTGTAACCACAATCTGATTAATCAGTCTAACTTCATAATTAATTTCAAAAATTAGAAAACAATAATATATCAGGAAGTTCAACTAAATTACATCTGGGATTTAGAGTCTGAGCTAGTACAAGACGCTTATATTTTCAAATTCAGACTTAATAGCAGATAGTTTACTCCTAATTTGAGAGTCTGATATAAATATGTTTTTATATGCTGTCTTCAGATGGAAAATAAGGACCAATGTTTTGTTCAAGCACAGTGAGGATGGGGAATAAATGCTAAGGATGTGTGGAATTAATTCTAAAATTTTATGCATATTACTAGGTTCTCTTATTAAGAAGTGTCCTAGGTTCTGAGTATTTAGAAAGTCTTTAAGAAAGAATTACCAGATTTGTGAACATATATTTTTCAACAAATTAAAAATAAGATTAAAGTATTATTAGGTGGATTGCATTTTGACAGATGCAACAAACCCACTGGCTTTCTAAGCCCATAAAGTTTCAGTATTTACACTTCAAGGAGACTGTTCCCCAATATCCTTGAGTATTTTGTATCCCTTGTAAGTATGTTACGTCCCTTATAAGCATGAGTATTTTACATCCTTATAATTCTTTGTATACAAACTTCATAAAGGAATGATATGGGTATGCCAAGTATCTAATATTTACTTTCATGCAATAATGATTAGTTAGAACAATATTTACAGCAAGTCTCTATTCTATTTACAACTCCATAATGACATTTGCAAGGAAACTCTCAACGAATTTTAAACATCTTTCATATTAAACAAAATTAAACGTTTAGATTAACTATAATACGCACATTCTTTATTTTTTTTTTATTTGTATACTAAGAGTTGTTTTGTACAGAAGAAGCTGAGGCTACAACTCTAATATCCAAGATAAATCATATGACTAAAAGTTGGAACTGTAATCTAAAATACAGAATGGCTTTGTTATTCATTAAATATTTAAACTTGGCAAATTACTTTTCCTTCTTGTTTCCTGTTTTCTCATCCATAGAATGAATCCATTGACCTACTTTAGTGGGTTACACTTTTCCACAGTAGAAATCTCTTGCAGACATAATCTTATGCATAATCCCCACGTGAATAAAACTGAATACTACAAATAGAGTTTTTCTTACAAAAGCAGCAATGAGGGAGGATGGCACGCACCAGTGTAAAGGTGTGAGGGGCACTAGAGCTCACCCCACGTGTTGATCCTCAGCTTCCCACGCAACAGATAGAAAATGGCTCTAAGGCACATCAAAGAAGTTCTCAAATTTGTGGAATACTTTTTGAAAATCATGTAATCATATGATTTTTAAGTTTCTTTATGATTCCAAAATAATACAATTCTCAATTTCATAAATTGGGGCCTGTCAAAGCACTGAAAATCATAGCATCTACCTTAGAAAAAAATAATATGTGCAAATATAAGATTTAAATCTATTCTAAGAAGGATTTCACAGAAAAAAAAACAGATTTCATATTAAAGCCACTGATATAAGTATTCCATAAAACAGCTCTATAACACCAAATACTTCATGTTTAAGAAATGAGTAAATAAATAAGACCCCAAGTAACCACTCAATGATTAGAAAATTGCAAAAATATTTTAGTTAAATTTAAATTCCCTTACCCAGCTCTACATTTCACTGGGGAAATAGGAAAAAAATAAATTTGGTAAATTTAAAGGCACATTTACGCACCTAAATGAAGATTTTTGCTTCCTAGCTTTGGTAGCCAGAAAGTGAACACTTTAAGGTCTACTAGCACGCATAATATACAACTATTAGATCCTTACAGTCATAGTCTATGAAAATAAAAAATGATGTAGATCAGAGCAAGTTTCGCAAAATAGTTAATTGTCCAGGAAGGGAAATGCCTGCAAGAAGTTCTTCACATGGGGCCATTTTCTTTGCCCGTTACTGAAATCGATTTGATGCTTGTGAGGCAGGAGTAATGAGTTTTCCCTGTGACTAATTTCTGATGTCCTTTATCAGCAAGGATTTCTAACTACCTAAAATAAAGGAAATGAACTAAACCAAACTTTTAGTAATCCCAAAAGGACCCAAAGAGAAATTGTCCCAGCAGTTACCTTATATAGACTCTGTGACACAGCTCCCCTTTTGCAGAAATTCTTAGTGCAGATCATCACTTTCCAACAGTCGTGTACAGAGACCTACTTTATAAGACCTCAGGGAAGTTAATGTGCTAGGTCTTGAAAGGTCTTTCTGGAATGTGAAGTAACGGGTAGTTTTCTTCTAGTAGCACTGCTAATTTTTGTGTTGCAATTTTTGCAGGTCCATGGGGCCGATGCATGGGAGATGAATGTGGTCCAGGAGGCATCCAAACGAGGGCTGTGTGGTGCGCTCATGTGGAGGGATGGACGACGCTACATACTAACTGTAAGCAGGCTGAGAGACCCAATAACCAGCAGAATTGTTTCAAAGTTTGCGACTGGCACAAGGAATTGTATGACTGGAGGCTGGGACCCTGGAATCAGTGTCAGCCTGTGATTTCAAAAAGCCTAGAGAAACCTCTTGAATGCATTAAGGGGGAAGAAGGTATTCAGGTGCGGGAGATAGAGTGCATCCAGAAAGACAAAGATATTCCTGCGGAGGATATCATCTGTGAGTACTTTGAACCCAAGCCTCTCCTGGAGCAGGCTTGCCTCATTCCTTGCCAGCAAGATTGCATTGTGTCTGAGTTTTCGGCCTGGTCCGAATGCTCGAAGACCTGCGGCAGCGGGCTCCAGCACCGGACGCGTCACGTGGTGGCGCCCCCGCAGTTCGGAGGCTCTGGCTGCCCAAACTTGACGGAGTTCCAGGTGTGCCAGTCCAGCCCCTGCGAGGCCGAAGAGCTCATGTACAGCCTGCATGTGGGGCCCTGGAGCACCTGCTCAATGCCCCACTCCCGACAAGTAAGACAAGCAAGGAGACGTGGGAAGAATAAAGAACGGGAAAAGGACCGCAGCAAAGGAGCAAAGGATCCAGAAGCCCGCGAACTTATTAAGAAAAAGAGAAACAGAAACAGACAGAACAGACAAGAGAATAAATATTGGGACATCCAGATTGGATATCAGACCAGAGAGGTTATGTGTATTAACAAGACGGGGAAAGCTGCTGATTTGAGGTAACGTTTTAATTTCTGTTAACTACACAGGCCTGTCAAGATCATGAGTACCTAAGACATCCTGTACTATTTAATAACTTCTAGATTACATACAGGCACAACCCAGGATTAGCCACCCCCAGATGTAAGGCTTCTGAGCTTGTGCGAGTTTCTCGGTGTTGTTTCTATTGTGCCCATGTTTAGGCCATGTACTACTTAAGTTATTTTGATTTTCCTTTCAAAGTCTGGAGCAGGAGAGATTCTTCATGAAAAGATACTGCTTCTTCTCTATGAGTAGACAGTGCTGCTTCCCTATAATAGAAAAAAAAATTTGCTTAGAGGCTGGAGTATTGGGATTTTAAATTCAGACACTTATTTTAGTCAGTTAATAGAAAAAGGCATACTTATAACCTCTGCAAGTTAACAGCATTTTCAGAATTACCCTATAAACAAATCTGCTCTAAACAACAAGCCAGGGAGCTATACCTAAGAATAATTTTCTTGCACATTGTATATAATGGAATTATTCCCTTCAGAGAAGAAAACAGCAACCAGCCGAAAATAAGGTAAGTAGAGGGTATTGGATCATGAGTAGCCTCATTCAGGAAACATGTAACTAATTAGCTTCATTTTCTATACAGAAATTAATTGACAAACTACCTGGGTGCATAATGACTACATTATGAAAACCTACCTCGTGTGTGATTTACATGTTGTGAAAATAATTTTCATTGAGGATTATCTGAAAGACATGATGTTCTCTGGGTATTTTAAATGTTGCTCTTGGATAAACCAGAACATCTGGGAGTGGCTTATCTGGATATTTGCATAACTGCTTTTTCAGAAATATTTATGCAGTTATGATTTGGATTGAACTGAAAGAATTTATAGAAATATCAGTAAGAATTGTCTATCAGATTGATTGTAGAAATAGCATTGAAAGTGTCATCAACTCTGTCAGTCTTTTCTCTTGATTGAAAACATATGATAAATTTCCCTGAAGTTTCAACCTCACTGCTTTTGGTGAACAGCTGGATTGTTTTTCCTATGGCCTCTGGAAATCTTGTAACAGACAGCATTTGCATGTTTACTTCTGTTAAGAACCTAAATAGGACTGTGTGGCATGCCTGTTGTTTATTAACATATCTTTAGCTTTATTTAGCTTTATCTTTTTTCTCACCCTATTTTTTTTTTTTTTTTTTTTTTTTTTTTTTTTTTTTTTTTTTTTTTTTTTTTTTTTTTTTTTTTTTACCTATTCTTATCTACTGATTTTGCTATGTATAGATTTTGAAATCTGGTTTAAATTGTTTTGGTTTCAAATGATATAAATAGATAAACAAAAATTGATTGGTCTAAGTCAATAACTTTCTCCCATCTTAGAGTTCTGGTTACTGTTTTTAGAATTTTTGCTACTCTCTCTTCTCTTTGTATTGGTACGATTGCATTTTATTTCAGCTGTACAGTAATTTGCTCTTTTTCTATTCTACTTCTGGTCCTGTGGCCTTGAATGAAAGCTGTTTGTTCTGCCTTTATTCTCTAGGATTCCTTCAACTCCTTAAATGTGTGTGTGTGTGTGTGCGCACCTCTGATTCAGTATCATGCATATTTTTAATTCAATTCCTGTTTAGTTTTTTTCTGACTATCCTTATTCAGGTGATTTCCTTATCCCTTTTCCCGAAGTATATTACAGTTATGTTAGTTACTTGGCTCACATCAAATAATTGAACGAGCCTCCAAGGCAAGTTGAGTTGTCTCCTGCTGTCACTGGGTTAGCATGCTGTAGACATTTAATTTAATGTTGACTACTCAATTAAAAGTATAATTAGGATAGTAGTACCATTGCATAGAGCCTAATTCTCTTGACTAGCAACTTGTCATATAAAGTATTCTTAACTGTAAAAGGTAGTTAACTACTAAAGGGATCACAAAGGGGTGACATTATGTTATAAGAAAGATATATCTGGGCCGGGTGCAGAGGCTCACGCCTATAATCCCAGCACTTTGGGAGTGGGGATTAGGAGTTATTTGAGTGAATAACTCATAATGAGAATTCAGTTATTTGAATTAAACTAACATATTAAAAATGCAGAGCTTATCTGGCAGGAACTTATGTCCCATTAGAAATACCATATATAACTTTCAATAAATCAATAGTTGCATATATGTTCTGACTTATTACAGTATAGGATAAACTTTATGTTAAATAAATTTTTTGTTAATATTCCTATTATATATGAATTATAATGTGTGATCAAGAAAGTCCTAGTGAAGAAGAGACAAAAATCAGGTATTTTGACTTGTGTCCTGCTCAGATATGATCCCATGATATCAGTGAAGCCAGTAAAGTGAAGAGTGAATCAATGACATCACCAAACCACAGGGCCACAGATCAAGACCTTAGTGATCAAATTTAAAATGTTTTAGCTTCTGTCCAATCCAGAAACAATTTTATCATGTAGGAGAATAAAAATAATTTAATATGGCTAAAAATTATGTTGTAATAACTGCATAAGTTTAACTGAATAAACCTAAGAATCTGGGGAAGCAGATCACAGACAAAAATAATTTTAGCAGAATTACTGCTAAAATGTTTAAGTTAACGATGATAGATGTGCCCTGCTTTCCGCTTTCCAAAAGACCAAAATCAGTCAGAATGAAAAACACAAAACTCTCTTCTTTTATGACAGCAGGAAACAGTCAAAGTCCCAAAGCACGGTTGATACAGAAATTGGGCTAATGTGGTGAAATTAGACATAAGTTAAGGAGGAAGCTTAGAATGGCATTATATGTTATCAGCTTTCATAAACACTCAGAATCTTCAAGAGTAACCTGAGCTTTCTGTGGAGACAACCCAGTGATACTTCCTTAGTACGACGTGGTCTGTGTCAGTGAAAAGGGCTGCTGAAGCATAGTTGAGTTCTGCTTAAAATCAGAATAGCGTAATACATGAAGCCCACCATGCCATTATTGCTAACGAAAGACTATCAGCTTGACAGACTGAGGGGTTAAAGTTTTGACAACCAGTGGAAGATAATTCTAAATTATTACACACACACCAGGACACTGGAAGCATCCCTGTAAACCATTGACTTCCAGCCAGGCTGCGTAAAATCTTACCATGACCAAGAGTTGGTATAAAAGTATACCAAGTGTTTCTCCAGGAAACCAAAGATGTTAAGGGAAATATGGTTTTCTGAATTCAAAACAGAAAGAATTCCAGTATTCAAAAAAGAGATAAGAAAACAGAAGGAGTTTAAAAGTAATCTGTCAGAGCTCAAAAAATAGATGGAGGAGAGTTATAAAATAAGAACAGAAATGCAATTCACATTAGAAGCAATAAAAATGTTTTTTTCTTGTAAACCTGTTTTAGTTCTTTGTAAATTCTGGATATCAGCCCTTTGTCAGATGGGTAAACTACAAAAATTTTTTACCATTCTGTTGGTTTCCGATTCACTCTAAATGACCATTTCTTTTGCCATGCAGAAGCTGTGGAGTTTGATTAGGTCCCATTTGTCTATTTTGGCTTTTGTTGCCAATGCTTTTGGTGTTTTGGTCATGAAGTCCTTGCCTATGCCTATGTCCTGAATGGTTTTGCCTAGATTTTCTTCTAGAGTTTTTATGGTGTTAGGCCTTATGTTTAAGTCTTTAATCCATCTGGAGTTAATTTTAGTGTAAGGTGTCAGGAAGGGGTCAATCTATATAACCAATAACCAATTGGTTATTGGCTATATAGGTCAATTGGGTCAATCTATAACCCCAATCACAGAAATACTCAATCTACAGTTAAAGAAAAAGAAAAATGGAAAACTGAAAAAAAGGAAGTGTCCATATGACAAATATATACCTCAAGGACACAGGAAGCTAGTACCTGAAGCATGAAAGAGAGTCCTCTAAAGCACCCAGTGGCACAATCCATGAAGCTTATTCACAGCTCTTTTTATCATATAATCCAATCTGCTGGGAGGAAAGAAAAGACACAGGGAATCCGGGGAAGGTCTCTTAAGAGATGTTCCCCACCCTAGAATCACAGAAGTATAGCTGTTGGAGAAATTAATCAGAAATATTATTTTCTGACCTTCTGGCTGAGGGAAGCTGTCAAAGGTGGAGTGAAGGAGGAATGGGGAGAGAAGGCAGCCATCTCCAGACTACAGCAAGCACAGCCTGTGATTGCCATTGCATCCCCACCTCTAGAATGCTCTACCTGACCCAGCTCACCTTCTCAAATAAAGAACCAAATGTGCGTATCAAAGAGCAAGGAACAAGGATGGCATCTGCTCTTAGTAATACTAGAAACATTTAATAGATGTCATGCCTACTTGTGCAAATATCTTCCATTTGAACCCACCTTGTTTTGTCAAATTGTCTGACAAGGACAATTAATGGTAATTCTAATTCCAGGAGAAGCGCTTCAAAAAAGTGTGGGAAATCCAGCCCAGTGAATTCCTGAGGGAGTAAGACAGATTCGGATTTAAAAGAGATTTCTGTTGGCTAAACCAAAAAAAAGTTGAACTATCCAGTTTCTAGATAATTCCATAAAGTGGATACTTCAGGCACAAATGCATAGGATAAGCATAACTGAGTAAAACATGAAGGGGTGCATAATCTAATAACCTGTAGAAATACTAACCTGTGGAAATACTAACCAGTTGTTCTGGCAAAAATTATAATTCAAAAATAACTTGATTTCTATTTTGTTAAAGGTGAATTTTCATCTCATTTGTTTCATTTTTCATAAGTCACTATATAAATTCAGCCTTAGCTTTTCAGATAGTAATGAATACTACTTCTTAAAGTGGCTTTCTGATTTTTGTTTTCTAAGCCCAGCCTTCTCTGGCATACCCTCTCGTCTTCAAATTTAAAACTGTTGAGCAGAAAATTGTATTTATTCTCGACACGGCTTATCTCTTTATGCCTGGTTCTTATTTTACCTTAGAACACTAGTTGTTAATTACTCCAAACTTCTGTTTTAGGATAACTTTCCAGAATGGTGATATCAAACATGAATATAAAGCACTTGCTTT